AAATCCTAGGTTTTTTGTAATTTTATTATGGGTTGTGAAAAAAGTCAAAGAAATGAGTCCTATGCCCATTAATATTTATTTTATTTTAACGATATACTCCAAAAATGTTCTTGTTCTTTTCAGCTACAACTGAACAAAAATGTATAGAATAGTAAATTGGTTAATGCTATACTTAAGGTAACAGCAAAAAAGTTATTTTATTTTTCTTGACTTTAGTCTTTAAGTTTTAATTTATATGATAATATTAAATTAATTGATTGATTCATTCCCTCTAGTGTCTTTCAAGAGAAAAAAATCTTAGAATTAGGTATTTGCATTACGTATCTTGAAAACAGCTGGGCTTAAAAAAGTCCCAAACCAAGAGAATTTTGTCACATTTTAATGTACAATAACACTTCCAGTGTTAGTGCCTCACACAGGAGCAAAGCAGCATGCAAAAACCATATACTCTCTGTCGATGGTTCTCAACACAAATTGAATCACTTACCAAAAAATGGCATTATAAGATCTCAAAGGGGTGTAAAACTTCAAGAAATGTTTTTCTTCTACTGGTAAAGTAAACATTTAGTGAGCTTTATGTGTAAATGTTTAGTGTTCCTAAAACAAATATCCAAATGCATGGCTTAGAATCTTCTACAATAGGAATATTGCCAAAATAAAGAAAATGAAACAAGTATCAAAAGAAAAGAAAATGGTTCAATCTGGGTCTGAAATAATATCTGGACCCTTTTAACTGCAAACTCCAATAATCTACTGTTTTTACAGAGGTTATTACTTACATAGTAAAAGTTTTCTCTTCTAATAGGGCTTAAGGAAGAGGGGAAAAAGGAAATTTTATTTCATTTTGGCTTCCTGCAATGACAACAACCTTAACATCAATGTAAGTATTGATCTACCCTTTAGGAAATACTACTACATTTCAGTGGGTATAAACTTGGACTGATAGAAGAATGGTTTTTCTCAAGACTATTTATAGTAGCAATAATGATTTTTCTTTGGATTGAATATCTCTTTATTACTCAATGTTATTGTGACTGGGAATAGAGGTTCCAAATTTCAATAATAAATGTGTCAAGGTCATGCTGAAAAAAAGCTGATGTTAAATTTAGTTATTAAATATTTTTTGTAAAATTGGTTACATCTGTTCTCTCATCATAAGAGTGTTTGGCTTGTTTTTCTTGAAAATTATTTGTACTTACTTAAATTTTTATAAGAATGTATGTGCTCTCTCAGGAAGAACAGCACTCTTTTATGTACAGATGTGAGAAAACTTGAATTTCATAGTCCTTGTAATAAAATTGTTTAAGACAGTAAGTATGCTGTTTGCAGTAAGCTCGAGGCCATATATACTAGGGTCCATGATTAGGAGAAACTATAGCAGTTAAGGTGAAGGTGAACACCATATTTTCACTCTCTTCTGTCAGATGCCCAAATAACTCACCGGTCTTGATTTGGTTCTTAAAAGTTGGGGCAGTGTTACAACTGTGCTTATATCCATTTAAAGGAAACATTTAACTTTAGGGTCAGTAACTTCTTTAATAGATAGAAAAATTACAGAAGTACTACTCTGAAACATAACTGTGGATGATCTTAGTATATGAATTAAATGAAACGAGTGTCCAGGCACAAGTCATGGGACATGAGGTCAATGACAACATTCAGAACACAGGTTGAGGCAAACAAGTGGTGTGAGTGGTCAGTGAAACCATGAATTAGGATTCCAGATAAGTGGAAGAAATAGGTCAGGCAGGACTCACTGATCTAAAGCCCTGGGAAATTCAGCACCTCAGACAGTTTCCAAAGACAAGGCTTCCTTCCTGAGACTTAGAGTACTTAACATTTAAATCACCTCCTGGTGTCTCACTTATACCTGCATGTGACCTTTATCCCAAAGGAATTATCTGCATTCATCCAAAGAACTCTGTGGTCTGTGTTTCACATGCAGCTTAAACCTTTAGCTCTGACATGAAGGTTCGTAATGTTCATGTTACCTGGGGTTATCACAGGCTTGCCACTGGACCTTGTTCTATTGATTTAATTTTAAAGTTGATTGAGTATAAGAAGGTGAAAAAGAGACCATCCAAGTTATGGAAGAGTTTCTTTGTCAACACTTGATGGCCCCTAAGAGCCAAGTCCTCTGGGCCATTTACATACAAGGCCATTCAGCAACTGTTTTATAGCAAACTAAAATGAGGTATTCAGCCTGGGTCAGGGGTTGGTGAGGCAGAAAAAGTCTTTAAGAATCTGATAAAGTTCTGCCTATGGCCCATGTGGCATAACTGTAGATGGTAACTCAAGCATATTAAGGCCTTCCTTGCAACCTCTGATAAGTAACGGAATTGTTACTTGGGAGCAAGAACTTTCAGCCAATTTCTATGAGGGATAACTGCAGTTCAGGAAAGTCCATCTGATTTCTAATCAAAGGGCAAATTCCATTTCAGCTACATCTTTTCACCAAGACTAAAATTAGAATTATCGACGAGACCAAAATATATACATATGAGAAATGCTTAAAAGAATATATTCTTCTTCATAACAACTTTCCAGATGAGTGTTTCCTGTTCTGAAACTGAGTGTTGGGGGTGAAGCACAGAAACACTGTAAGAATGGCTTTGTCAGTCATGAGCAGCTTAACCAGACAATTTATATAGGTCTTTCTTGATCTTTGCTAATGAAAAATGAATGGGTGCCCAGTAGGAAGTATTATAAGCAAAAATAAGCAGGGGATATCTTTTTACCTCCAGTTACATTAGCAGCTATTTTTGTTTGTGGGTTGGAATCAGCCTCAAGGGCCCCACATGGTTGACAAGTCTGTAACCTTGGTGCTTAGAGTAACTCAATACCTTCTTAATTTCTTTAGTGGATTCACAGATATTAGAAATTAATTTCCAGTCTTCTTGAGGGCTTTAGAGAGTACTGAGAAGGCATGAGAATGTTCTAGCAGGAGGAGAGAAGGGAGCAATGGTCTTGACACTAAAGAAGGAAGAACATAGAACAAAGAACAAATGGGATTTTATTAAAGAAATCTTATGAGAAATTGATATCATAAAGGTGTGACAACTATAAAAGTTCTGGCATTTGTCTAGCTGAATCGCACATGATTGTTACTCTTTATAGTCTGAAAGCACCAAAGCAGAAAAGGCATTCCCTAGGTTTCCATGACAAATAATATATTAAGGGTTAGCCCTGAATCTATAGCTCAGGATCAATCCTGAAGGAATAGTAGTGATTTTTATTACAATGTCAATTTCACTGGTTTCTCAGCTGTAATTGTAAGAAAATGTTAAGATTTGAGATTGGAGAGTGCACCCTAGGTGTTCATCCTCATAGTTATGTGATCTGAGAAAAGAGCTTTTTATTTATCCAAGTATACAATGTGTATTTGAAAACAATGATATTGATTCTCCAAAGTCACATATGTAAATCAGCCATATTGTCCAATGATCAGCTCTATGCACATTGGGTGATTAACAACTTGGCACCAAACTGGTCAAACTAATCTGTTAATGCTGAAAAGAAGTCCAAAGAAGGTTTAAGACAACACACTCTGGCTCATGAAACTTGGTTATATTTATATGGTCTTGGAATATTTCTCTAAAAATTCAACTGGAACCTTAAATTTAAGATAGATTATATTTTAAAATATATTGATATTAAATTTGATGACCTTTAGTTTATCATGAGAATAGTAGAAATTTAACATGAACATTTGGTTTAATTTTTTCACTTTCTATACAGTCTTTATTTTTAAAAGCAAAGAAGAGGTCATATTGTTTATCATCCTAATGTTGGAATGTTCCTGTTTGTTAAGAAATTGATTCTTTGCTACATAAATATTATTTTTAGATATGGTAATTAAATTAATACATTATTATTGCAAGCATGCAAACTACTGAATGCCACTAAATAACATTACAAAGCCCATAGAAAAATATAGTATAAAACTTATTTTTAACTTACTGACTTCATATAATTATTTTCTATGATTTATATAATTATTTTCATACATAATTTATGGCAGTTTTATGATTAACAGTTTCTTTATTTAAAATATTTTCAATCAATCTCCACTATCATTTATTTTTGACAATCTGAAGAAGAAACAAGGCTCATTATAGAACCATTTTTGTTTGCTGGGTATTTTTGCCTATATCACGTAATTTGACAATAAACAATGAAATGTCTCAGCCGTGACTCAGGCACGTGTCTCAGCCTAAACTGCCTGAGGAATGTGAAGTAAAAAAGAGGTTTTAATACTTCTAACAACTTAAAAATATTGAGTTCTTAAATCACTATAGTCCACTGGATATCTGCAGGTAAATGAAGGAGGTAGTGTACAGCCTAACTGTTAACAAATCCAGCTTATTTGCTGATGATAGATCTCAAACATTTTATGGGCTAAGGAGCAGTGTGCATGTTATGAGTTTTGTTAATAATATCACTCACTATTAATTGCAGTTCAGTAAACTAGATTCATCTTTGAACTTATTAATACATATAAATATAATTTTCACATATAAGAACTGTAAAGATAGAATGAAAGTATTATTTTCCACTGTTTTTTATTATTTAAAAAATCTCATTATTCATACACAGATATATAATTTCATTAGACATAAACTACAGGCATGCAGATGTTACTTAAATGTATAAATGAGACCATATCAACATGTTAATTATTTGTATTTTTCAATGCTATCATTCCCCTTTTACATCTAAGACTACTGAGGTCCACACATAACAACTGGGTTATACAATATTTATAGTGGGTAAATAATAGGGCAGATTGCGGCTCATGTTATTTTTTCTCTTGGCATCTCAAGAGTAGAATTAATTCAAGTGTACTTTAACCTTCCTTTTGGAAATATGTTTCTGAAATGACCTTATTAAAGCTTTGAATCCAAAAACAGTAGCACATTGGTAACCTGATGTCTTAATGAATTTTGGAGGAAAAACTGTGATGCAACAAGGAACAGATATAGCAGTAGAGTAGTGCTTACCTTCATAAGTCCCACTTTCTAGGAGAGCACCACTTTTCTCCAATTCCATAAAATCTTCAACGGTGATGAAGATGTAGTCCACTCCGGGGACCTCACCCTCCTTATGTGGCCTTGTGGTGCCTGAATAAGGAAAATTAAAAATGCGAGAAAGACTTTAAATGGTTTATTGTTGAACTTTAGAAATACCATCATACTTCTGAATATTCAATAACACTTGTTTGTACATCTTGCTAGTTGGCAGTTTGCATTCATCCTGATTGTTTGAAAACAGAAAAGAGCAGGGGGTAAAGATTAAAGTAAATATACAAAGCATTTTTCTTCATCACACTTATAAAGAGTTCATTGCCTTGGCATGTGGCTGCAGAGATTTTTCAGTGAAAAATGCAGACCATTGTGGCTTTTTTGAAGAGGTGGTTTGAATACTGGGCCAAGAACCTGCTAGCTCAGGAATTTACATATTTCATTTTCATGAATGGACCTCTATTGTTCTGTAAACTGCTTTGCTATAACATAAAATACAATGGAAAACAGAAATGTTAGCAAAATGTCAATTTATTTGTATATTTTCATGAAATGACAATGTTTTCATTTGTTAATTTTGTACCAAATAAATTACATGTGATTTAAAGAATCACAAAATTGTTTACTTAAAATTAAATAAATAATAATTAGAATTAAGTAATAATTATAATTGAGTTAGTATTTTAATGCTTATAATACAATTTCCTTCCTCCTTCCCTTGCTCCTTTCCTCCCTCCCTCCTTCCCGCCCGCCCGCCTGCCTGCCTGCCTGCCTGCCTGCCTTTAGCACTGACTGAATTAAGGGGTGACATGGTCCCAGAAGTTACTATATGGGTCCACCACTCCTGTTTCCTGTGTCACCTATAAAGTGAATGGAGCATATGTGGCCAGAGTGACAGGATTGTTGGCCTGTGGCTCTGTACAGCTCTACTGGAGAACACAGCTTCCAGACCTGCTGTCCAGTTCATGAGGCAGGAACCAAAATACAGACATCTTAAAGGCTGTGGTTTTGTTTCCTGGTACACTTCCTTCCTTAAACATTCCCTAAGGCTCTTCTTTTCTTTTTCTATGCCACCTACATAAGACATTTTGCATGGTCAGATTGGAATTTGCATAATACATACATGAGAATAGTATGCAGAAGGCAAATATATAAGCAAAGTAATAGTACTTTGCCAATCTTTTACATATTTAAAATCTCCACCATATTCTCTATATACTAAAAAAATATATTTCAAGCCCTTAACTTTTATTTTCATCTCTGAAATCTTTATCAACTAAGCCATGAAAATAGCTGGGAAGTTCTTCTTTTACTCTATTAGGACCAAATCTGAACTGCAAATGAGAGGCATGAACTAATATTAGAATATTCAATGTGTCAGGGAAAATTGATTCTTGGTAAAAATGAATAATTTCCATTGAAATTTTTTTTTTAAGATTTGAAGGCATTATTTTCTTTTTTCCATAATCATGTTTAATGACTTTCCCCTGAATTTGTCATTTTATTTTGTTTAACTGAGCCACATTTTGCAATATTTCCTACTGTTTTTATGCTATTAAATATAAACCTCCCACACTGAGTATGCACAATATTGTCAAATTAACGTTTCTATGAGAACCTTAACTTTTAATATCCTGACTTTTATGTGCTTAACCCTTGTGAATTAAAAGCGCTTATCATGGTTTGGGGCAATCAATTTGTTTTTCTCTTTATTTAGAACACACTCTAATCATTAAGAAAAATCACATAACAAAGTTTCAATTTTCCTTCCTAATTTATCTGCATATTTCAGAAGCTACATGCCTTGATTAATTAACTTCTGGCAGTGTGGTAATGCATTCCCATCACAACGTGAGCACAGGGCCACATGCCTGAGTGCAATTTCCAGGGCTGCTGATTTGGCTGGAGTTATTCCCTGGTGCCAAATTCTAGGGAATGCATTTGTGGTTGTGCTCTTTCTGGGAGGGCCATCAGTACTTTGGTTCACTGGGTGGTTTTCCATCTCTACCCTGTACCTTAGGCCAATGTAATTAAGTTCATGCATTGGTGATACACTCCCAGCGGCTGCATCTGTATCACCTGTGACTGTTGACCTGCTGCTGTTGGCTGCCTATTTGGACTGGGGGCTGGCCTATTTCATTGTTGCTTGGAGAACTACACTACAATCTGAAATGCTGCAATTACTAGCTTTGATATCGATCTTCCAGCCTTTCTCATTTTGTTTTTCTTTCTAATTATAACCTCTAGTCTCTTATCTCTCCTAATTTCCCTGATATTTCCCAAATTTGGCTTCATTTACCTCTCTAACTACTAAGGGACTGGGAACAACCTAGAATCTCTTCTTTCTATTAGTTCACCTTCACCATTTCCTAACTCTTATTAAGCTTCCAAGTTCACTATTAGCGAATTCATTCACAAACTGCAGTTGTTACAGAAAACCATAAACTTTCACTGACAAAGTACCCTACAAGTTCAGATTATCAGTTTGATTCTACCGATGCTTGGCAATCCTTTTAAACACATCTTCTTCTTTCTGTGTCACAATCCCAACCGTTTTCTAATACTCAATTGCTTTGACTNTCTGTGTCACAATCCCAACTGTTTTCTAATACTCAATTGCTTTGACTTTCAGCAGAAGATATTAGTTCATTCTCTTTTTGGTAAAGAAAAAAGATAATCTGAAATCACATTCCCTNCTTTCTGTGTCACAATCCCAACCGTTTTCTAATACTCAATTGCTTTGACTTTCAGCAGAAGATATTAATTCATTCTCTTTTTGGTAAAGAAAAAAGATAATCTGAAATCACATTCCCTAAAGCTTCCTAATTTTTGTCTCCATTATCTGCATTATCACACTCTTAATTAGGAACATACATTCATCTTGCTAAGACAAATCTTTTCTCCTCTGCCTCCTTTTAATAGCTAATTTTTATTTTTTATCAGTTACATATACAGATATTTTAAAGATTTTGTAATTCTACAAGCTTAGTTATTTTTTTTTAAGTTGACTGTCATCACCCCCTCCAACACACACACACCTTTCCTTTTATACAGAGGCAAACACTTTCAAGTCAATTGATTCTTTTTGCTTTACCTCCACATCTTTAAGTAATTTATTTATGTCTCTTGTTCTCTTACTTTCTTCATTATTCCCTGACTTCTTGGTAAATAAAATGAGAATTTAGCTTTTTTTTGCTTATACTTCTATACATTACTTCCTTTCTCTCCTCCTCCTATACTCCCAGGAGTGGAGGATATTGGCATATCACTCAGTTGCCATTCTAGGATCACTTTTTGCCACTATCCCGGGGAATTCACGTTGACTCTTCTCTCTCTCGTATCCTCTCCTTCCCAGATAATCTGTCTCTTTTTGTGGTCTATTCCCTCATTTTGGCAGAGCAAATCTATCAGAAGCTTTCTGTCAAATGTTGTATGAGAGCTACATTTTTGATACTTTGAGTGTCTGAAAATTTCTTTATTCCACCCTCACAGGTGGCAAATCAGACTCAGCATTTCAGGAAAATATCTTAATGAAAACATATTTTCCCCATCACACTCCTCTGTTACTATCACCACCATTCTTCCAGTCATGCATGTTTGAGACTTTCCCTCAGAGTCACATTTGTCTCCCTATGTATTTGGCAAATATGCCCTGTCATCTTTCCTCTCCACTCAAAAACTGCCCTCCTGGGTAGGCAACAACTATGTTACTGGTGTGTCTGCCTCCCCCTTATGGGTTATTACTGCACTCCTGGATTAGCTCTGGTAAAGCACNCTCCTGCCTCCCTCCCCTTTATGGGTTATTACTGCACTCCTGGATTAGCCCTGGTAAAGCACGAGGTCGATCACATATCCTCTCCAAAAGGGCTCATGGACCCAATCTCTAATCAGGAAACTTAGTCAAAAAGGGTTAGAAGAGGAAAATACTGAGAGTTAAAAAGAGTCAGAAAAAGCTCATATTCTATTATCGACAATAAAAGGCAACTCTCCTGGTACGCTGGACTGTAGAGTCTCTGTAGATGAACTCATCTTGATGGAACAAACATGAGGACACAATTTAAAAATATTCTGCTTAAAAAGTATCTTCCTTTCTGGCCTGCCATTTGTCACTTTCCTTTCCTTTAGCCTAACTTTTCCACCATTAGAATTGCTCTTTGGTTTAGATAAAACATAAACTACCTTTGAAACATATGCTGTAATAGTAGGAGTGTGAGCCACGGAATCAAACAGCTTGGTCTTAGGGTTCTGCTATTTGCTATCAGCAATACCTTGAGCAAGGTCCTTTCCTCTATAAACTCTAGTTTCCTTATCTAGAAATGGGGGTAATACTAGTAGCAACTTTAAGGGGTTGATTTGAAGAACAAATGAAATAATCCATAATAGGTAGTAAAGACAATGTCTGGATCACATTAAACACTCAAAAGTGATTATATGTTCAATACTATCATCTGGAAGAGAAGAGGTGACATCATCACTGGTTTTTCCCCTCATAAATTTTTGCCACAAATATCAATTGAGTACTTACTATGCTCCAAGCATTATTCAAGATATTTGAGATATATCTTTGAATAATACACAATAAGGTCCCTTCCTTCATGGCACTTATATTCTAACAAGAAGAGACAAAGCATAAAACAGACACAAAAAGTAAGTTATAAAATATGCTGCAAAGAGTTAAATCTTATTTCAAAACCATAAATAAAATCATGAGCACCTATGGGTTTTTTAGTGGGTGAGCTGCTTAGGTTATTAACTGTTAGCTTAGCCATTACAAGGCAAACATTTGAAGAGAAGGTGGAGACTGCAAAGGACCTGAAGGGAAGCAGAGGCCTACCACACATATGGGCGGAAGGCTTCCCAGGAGAGAAAGACAGCTTGGCTAGAGACCTCTGGGAAGCAAAAGGTGATCCACAAAGTGCCTGGTTATATTTTGGAAAGGGTCGCTAAATCCTAAAGAAAAACATCACTTATTACTCATACTGCTTGTTGTAGCTTAGGTCAACTGGCTTATGCATTGGTGCCCAATACAGGCATTTTTGAAATTTCAAGGTAATTTTCATAAGATTGATAAATACGATAGTGCATGGTGGGTTCTGATG